GTTAAGTAGAGAGAGAGAGAGAGAGAGAGAGAGAGAGAGAGAGAGAGAGGTTACATGATGGGCAAAGACGCTGATGTAGCCATTTATTTTAATTTATTTGTATTCGTCTGGTTATCTATGAGAATTGCTAGAGCAAAGAAAATAAGGGATTAAATATAAGATAGGAGTTAACAACTAATGCTTTTACACATAAAACTACACATAAGTCATTATACAAAAGTGTATAAACTTTTGAACTGTAAAATATGTAGGAAATTATGACACTTAGAAAGTTCGCAGGTCAAAAAAATGGAGATCTGCACTCCATTGTATATGAAAAAAAACTATGCCAATGAAATTTGTTCCCAAAGTAGAGGATACTCAATTCCAAGTTGGTAGAATTGTGGTTCCGCTTACTCATGAAACCATGATTTTTGGCATATGGATCTGGATCCCACTAATATGGGATCGAGTTCCCCAATTTCCTGGATTGAGAACCCAAATATCAAGGAATCACCCAGAATCAAGGTCCATAAATCAGAGCATGGGAGCGAGTTTCCGGAGCGGCAGCAACCCCTTCCTTAGAAGATCCTAGTTACTATGTGTGAGGGAGCTAAAGCAAACATGAGTTATTAAATCACCATCAATCCCACGATGAAAGTGTCCCTATCATCCAAACAAGTATATTCCATCATCACCAGATAAGAATATCTCACCATGTCAACATCAACTACTCAGAACCTGGCATTAGTTCGTCTTTATTCTTGATTCGTCCTTTTTTTCAATCAGATGTCTCTACGAAGACATCCAATAATATTAGAGATCAGTTTGCCTCAACTTTACAAAAGTTCATTTAAAATTTATATTCAAGCCAATAGACCCAGCTTCCAAAGAATGTTTATCTTTATTGGCATATCATGCAAAAGAAATAGTTCTTTATTTATAATAATTTAAATCAAACAGCTAAAAGAGATAGTGTCATACGCAAGCATATGTGAGTAGACTCACCTTGGCACCAGCAAGTATCTCTCTCCTTGCACGAACATCAGATATAAGATCAGAATAGATGATTTCAAAATATATACCCCGCTGCAAACATAACAAAATGAAAATAAATATTATCTGCATCATTAAAAATATTATCTTTGATGAGATACATCACAAACTGAAAGTCGGGAACAAAAAAAATATATCATTGAAAGTTCCAAACTGAAACCTGAATTGCAGCTTTGACCATGGGAACCTTTAAGCGGAAAGGTAACTTCTGGTTGAAATCTATAGAAATCAAATCTACCTACAAATACCAAGATTTTTTGTTAAATGAGACAGCTTACAGCTAGAATAAGCAAAATAGAACTCCAATGGAAAGGAATTCAAAACTAATTATTCCACTTAATCGAAAAAAATAACTTTTGACAGAGAAGAAAGCATTGCAACGTACACTTCCTAAACCGATAAAAACACATAAAACAACCAGCAAACAAGCAAATGGGCTCAATCAATCCATGACATACACAAACATATATATGCACACTTCCTGTTTACAATATTCAGAAAGTTCGCCACTTCTTTGGCTCAGTGGTATGGTGTAAGAAATGAAACATTATATACTAAAGTTCATATGCAAATCTCTCACCTAACAAATAATAGCAACAATAATAAAGAGAGCATGATTTAAATTAGGTCATGTTTCATATGGCCCCTACACTTGATGAGGTAGTTCTATAGGACATTGGGAAACAATTTCGAACAACAACCCATTTTAAGGTATTATAGCAGAGCAAAATAAACCCTACTTTCTATAAACACTATTACACAGACACCCCACTTTTCCTTTTGTGCCACATATCGACATGCATGACACTTAGAAACATGCTGACATGGCCAGACAAGTGGCAGAAATGAAGCAGAATATGCATCGCGAAATCGTACTAGGAATGGTAGAACTCAAGAAAAGGAGTCCCTTGTCTTTTTAATGCAGTCATTTATCGTTTTTCTTCCCAATAAGGCCGACGAGTCCATATGGCACCAACAACTTGCCCATTGAGGACAAGAAGCTCTTAAAGAGTATTAAAACAGTCGGTTTGATTTCATATACTTCAAAGAACTTTTGTAAAAAAATCAAGTATAATATTCAAGTTGTTAGTTTTTTTTTTTGAGAATGTTAACGGTTAATATTATATTAAAGTAGTACAAGAGTATGGGTCGAGGTGACCCACAGACCGGGTCTCTCGACCAAAAAATGGTCACTAAGAAGTGACCTATACAAGAGAGTCGGGCCATAACAACTCCCAGGAATCAAAATTAACGCTTGTCCCGAGATAGGGGCTTATAGAATACGCCCGTTACAAGAGAGAGGACTGCCAGAGAGGAAGAAGAAGGCCTCCCACCTTCAAGTTGTTAGTTCAGTAAGCATTGGGACCTTCCTTTCAATGTTAAACACAGCAACTTTTCCTTTAGAGTAATATAGTCTAACTTTTGGGGTCCTCCTCCTACAGAATATAAGTCTTATTCTAAATAT